TCAGGAAGGGCTTTTCAGCAGTTACACTAATAATCGAAATAATGGTTAATGCATGCCTTGGTAGCGGAGGAGAGTCCCTGAGAGGCCCTGGCGGCGCGGGGTACTGTCACTGCCGTAGGCCGGAGATTGGGCGTGCGGAGCCCAGAGACTTAGGGTTTAGGGGTTTAGGGTTTAGGGAGTTAAACCACCCCCCAAAGAAGGCTTAGTTGACGTATCCGCCTTGTTGTCATCACATTGGCAGTTCTTCGATGCAGGGTAAAATAGTGCAGAATAAAGTGCAAAAGAATTTCAAAGCGGACAATGAAAAAGAGACTGAGACTACATGGGGCTTACACGGCTCAGGGCCGTTCCTGTCTGCGTAGCCTCAAGGTACCACGGGCTGCACGACAAACGTCCTCTCAGAAGAGCCTGTCCTCATAAGATTGCTCTAACAGGTGGTTTCTTAAAAGGGGGTACCCCTATACTTAGTGGTTGATAGTCAGGAATAAGGGACTACAATCTCTATACAATCCCAATATAACATATTCCTTATTAAGAACCAGTAAATATGGGGACCATAGGCATGGGTGAGGTTTATTTCGATATTGTCGGGCTCTCCCTTTACGGATCCCATGGAGACCATTTTCAAAACAACACATTAGAGCGAGGATGATGGTGGTGATGATTGTTTAGGGTTTAGTGTTCTAGGTGTCAGGTTTAGTGTAGGGTTTAGGGACAGATGATCATGATCAGGACCACGATCCGTTTTTGTATGGTCATCCTCTCCCAGTCATTGTGCTGATGCTTACAATCCAGCATGAATAATTCCCAAGGCTGGCAGGTAGGGTCATGCCGGATTTTGAGACCCAAGCGACCAGCTTGTTCTGCGCTTCCATTTCATGCCCTGGCTGCTTGGAATATTGCATCCTAGTGGTGGGGGGGGTTTGAACCCTCTCAGGGGTGGAAATATAATGTTGTCAGTTTTTTTGACTTGTAGGACCCATTTAAATCCTACGTAGGCCGCCCAAAACACCCCTAAGAATGGCTGTCAACACCAAAACTCAAGGGTACAAAGCCTTGCCTGATGGGCATTGGGAGGTGGGGGAATGAATCCCTACAGTATCTGCTACGATCCCCACTGATATGAGCTATAGCCTGAATTCCTTAAAGGGGGTTATATAGGGGACTACGATCGGGGTTATTAAGGGGGATACTAGGAGCTTAGACAATAGCTCATATAGCAGTTTCCATGCCTTTTTACATTTACTGGTTCCCTGCTCACAATCAGCAAGACGCGACTCTAAACGCTAAACCCTTTTTTCTCCTCCTCCTCCTCCTCCTCCTACTACTACTACTACTACTACCTCTACTACTATTACTACTACTACTACTACTACCACCACCACCACCACCACCACCACCACCACTACTACTACTACTACTACTACTACTGCTACGACTATTACTACCACCCTAAACCCTAAGCCCTAGACCAAAAAACCCTAAACCGGAGCATCCCAAGGTTGGCAAGGAGTCGGACGTGCACTATGCCCAGGTGCACCGACATGATGCTGGCTCTAGGGTTTAGGGTTTAGGGCTTAGGGCTTTAGGGTTTTCAGGGTTTAGTGTTTAGGGTTTTAGTGCTTAGGGTTTTAGGGTTTGCAGGGTTTAGTGTTTAGGGCTTTTAGTGCTCAGGATTTTGGGTTTTTGGGGTTTGGGGTTTATTGGGTTTAGTGTTTAGGGGCATATAGGGTTTAGTGTTTAGGGCTTAGGGTTCTTACGGTCTGGTGTTTAGAAATTAGGGTTTTGGGGGTTTAGTGTAGGGTTTAGGGTGTAGCATTCAAAGGCCCCTCGTTGGGGTTCCATATGGTCCACACATTTATGGCCTTTGTAATTTAGTGTGTATGGAGGTGTGGAAGGGGACTGTGGAGTTTTTAAGAAGCCAGGGTGGACAACACATCGTTTTGGATACGTTTGCTTCGGCAGCCTTTGCAGTTATCACGGCATGGTCCCCAAAGTGTGCTTCCCCCTGCTCATGCGGCAGAAACTTGGATCGACAAGAAAGAAAATACTTCCTAGGGTTTAGGGTTCCGAACAAGGACTGACATTGTCTTACAATAGGGGAATGATTCCGCGTGACAACGCAACATGCTGAACCTCAGCCAGTAGTTTTCAGGCGATCTAGTGCTGATCCAACCCTAAGTTTAAAACCCAATATAGAACGCAACACACTATAATCCTTGTTGTAGGGACGCCTCAAGAAAGTGCCCCTAATTCAAGGAACCCCCCCCCCATCATTCCTCGATCAGATTTCAACCTTACGTTCAGCTGATGGCTGGCCTTAATGTTCAGAAATACGAAAGTGATGTGATTTGCGTCATGTTGCGGTTTGCCTTTGTGTTCAGACGCCAGCTTTGTTTTTCTGATTTTGCATTCTTCGATGCTTTGCTTTGCTGGACAGACAACGTCCATGCAGGGCCCTGATGGGGAACTTGTCGCGCTGAAGCTTCACAGATTGGGCAGCGGCCGCGGTTGTGACTTCAGCTAGGCTCATGTTGCACTGACTTGGAACCAAGGTCGCATCAGTTTCCGCGCCATCAAAGAGAAGCGAGACTACTTAAGGCCCGGGCACTGGCTGTAGACTCCTAAATATCCCTACATGTCCCTACTTACCCTGGTGTATCCCCACTACACTGCCTCCAGTGAGCCACTGAGAAGCCTAGGCACCGCGTCCACGCATCCTGGATGTATATGGCCAAGCTAGCCGCAGCCAAGGAGTTTGCATACATGAAGGCTTTGAAGGACCGACCATGGTCTACCAGTAGTAGATAAGACATCACTAAATCATGATTGACAGGATTTAATTAGAATACGGGTCCTATATAAATGCCTCCATTTTGGGAAGCGTAATTGAAGCCAAATGCCATTCAGATAGCCCTTGCCAGGATGAGGGCTTTCCGGTTCCAAGCCCGATCGACCAGAATCGCCATGCAGTGGTGATGTCCTTCGTCTTGGCCTCGCCCAATTGCATCTGTAATCTTTGGGTTTAGGGTTTAGGATGTAAACTTCGCAATACTTGGAGGCCAGTGCGGGACTGTAAGCTCGCACTAAGTATGCTTCTCACCCATATATGGAGGGATGCCAAAATGATGGTTACTGTTTGGCTGCCCTACATGTAAGCCGTGCTATGCTCCGAACAGTGGTCAGAATTCTGACAAGCCCCCATGTGGGTTATCATTACCCATAGATTTCCAAGTCGAAACCTAAACCTTAGATCCTAAACCAAATGACCTGAAGCCAAATTCCTAAACCTGAAATCCTAAACCCCAAACCCTAATCCCTACCCCCTAAACCCTTAAGTGTGTGAACAATGAGGTGGACGCAAGGCCACTTTTTCAGCTTCGACAGCTTCAGCACCCGCACCAGGCCATCTTCAGCTAAAAATGACCTACCAGTGCAGGTTGTTGCTGTTACCAAGCTAAGGATTTAGGGTTTAGGGTTTAGGATTCAGGGTTGGGCCATGTTTTTTTTTTCAAAG